AACTGCCAGCCTATTCGTGTCATAGGTGCCACAGAGACTTTAAATTTTATTTTGTTTGTGTGCTTGCTCAAGGACTGAATCTGTGTTTATAATACACCACTCACAGGGAGATACAGTGTACACAGTGATAGTTCATAGTGTCATCAGTGACCGCTGAAGTTGTAAATAACTTAAAGTGAGCGCTCACTAGCAAGCAAGCTGGAAAGGCACCGTGCCAGCTGAAACCAAGTCGTGTCATAGGTGCCACAGAGACTTTAAATTTTATTTTATGTTGATTGTGTGCTTGCTCAAGGACTGAAACTGTGCCTACAATACACCATTCACAGGGAGATACAGTGTACGCAGTCGCAGACGACAACTCCATAGGCAACAGAGAGTAGCTAAGTACTTTTTTCTCTCTTTATTTTCTTTGAAATAGGTGTAGATCTATACACAGTCTGCACCCCCCCCCCCCCACAACAACAACAACCATGAGTTTGGTATGTGATTACTGCAGGGAGACGTCGGATATGGAGGATGCAGGCCTAACTAATGCAACGTTTAGGAAGTTACTAACTGCCGTAAAGCTTGATGGCTGTTGCTGGTATTGCCCTGGCTGCATAGTCAAGGTGAATGAAGCGATTGCAATCCATAAGGGAACGAGTTCTCTAGGGACGAAAATAGATGAAGCAGGAGCCCTGCTGGTTGACAAACTGGAGCAAGTTGAGAAAGAGATCCTTGCTAAGACTGAGGAAGTAGCTAATAGAATGGAGGTGGTTGCTAAGAGGAGCTATGCGGACGTATTAGGAGGGCCACGGGTGGGGGGGGCGGAGAGTAATGCAGAATCAGTACAGGTTCTACAGCAGATTGGGACTCTGAAAAAGTGTGTCGAAGAAATGAAAATTAACGGACCTACTGTTAGGGGAGAGGAGGAACACCAGGAACGGCTCCAGCGCAGGAACAATGTAATAGTTTTTGGAGTCCCAGAGAGCCAGGCAGAGGGAACTGTGAGTAAGGAAACACACGACAAGGTGCTGTTTCAAAATATTTGCACAGAGGTTCTGAAGATTCCAGCAACCCCTCAGGATGTGAGGAGACTGGGACAAAAGCAGGGGGTTAAGCCTCGCCCCCTCAGGATCACACTAGGGAGTGAGGAGGAAAAATGGCAAGTTATCCGGCAGGCAAAAAACTTAGCAAGGAGCGAGGCATTTCGAGATGTATTTATTCACCCAGACCGCACGGTAATGCAGAGGGAACAGCACAAGAAGCTCCTGCTGGACTTGAAGCAGAAGAGGGAGGAGTCGAGAAGGAACGGGGACAGGTGCACATGGGTTATACTCAGGGGGAGGGTAGTGGAAACAAGTGTGCCGACACAGGGCCAGGGGGCAGCAGTGCACCCTCCACCCACTCAACCCCCCACCCGGGAGGCGGCACCGGCTCAGCCTACCGGACAGGAGGGAACGAGCGCCGTGTAAACAATGAAATTTTTAACCACACCCTGCAAAATACAGTGTACTTAGCAAATGCTGCAGCTTCTGAGAATGTGGGTGGAGCGGGTTTATTACTAAGAGCAGAGACGTTACCGAGAACAAATTCTGGCTTGAATGTCATGTACACTAATACCGACACGTTCCTTGATAAGAGGGAGGAGTTTGAAACACTACTAAGAGTACACCAACCAGATATTGTAGGAGTTGTAGAACTGTTGTACAAGAACAGGAGAATCGACCCAGAGGAATGTGAGTTCAGTATTGCTGGATATGACTCATTTACGAACCTAACTCAAGAATCCTGCAGGAGGGGTGTGGTTATCTACGCTAGGCAAGACCTTAGAGCCAGCCAGGCGAGGGTACAGGGAGAGGATGTTTTTGAAGAGTCCAAGTGGTGTAAAATTAAATTAAAGGGAGGGGACTTACTTATCGTCGGGTGTATCTACAGATCCCCGAACTGTGGCCCACTAAATCAAAGGAACTTAAGAACCTTAATAAACAATGCGGCGATGCTCAACCCCAGCCACCTCCTTATCATGGGGGACTTTAACTATGGCGACATCGACTGGAGAAACGAGTCAACCCCGAATGACTTGAATAATCCTGCTACTCTTTTTGTAGAAACTCTGAGAGATAATTTTCTGTTCCAACATGTGAGAGACCCGACACATTACAGAGGGGAACAAACACCCAAGCCACTTGACCTCATCATAACAAACGAGGAGGGTATGGTGGCCAAACTGGAACACCTTGCCCCAGTTGGCACCAGTCACCATACAGTGTTGTCATTCAGATTTAACTGTTACCTAGTTCAAGATAAGGCCAGGCCAAGGTGCAAATATTACAAGGGAAATTACAATGGGATGAGGGAAGAGATGAGGGGTATCAACTGGCCTGACTTATTAAGGTACAAGAACGCAGACACTACGCTGAATATCATAACTAGTAAAATGACCCATTTGATCGATAAATATATACCCAAGACCAAACCCAGTGCTTCTAGGAATACGAGGGGATCCCTACACATGAACCATGCGGCGGTCGACAAAATTAAGAAGAAAACCCAGAAATTCAAGACGTGGGTTGGGTCAAACGATGAGCAAGACAGGAGGATGTATGCAAGAGCCAGAAACCAAGCAAAGATAGAGTGTAGGAGGGCTGAAAAGGAGTTCCAAAGGCTGGTTGCACGCGAGGTCAAGTCAAACCCAAAGGCGTTTTACCGCTATGCAAAGTCGAAATTGAAAACGCGAGTAGGAGTATCAGACCTGAGGCTTGAAGATGGTAGTTACGCAGATTCTGACCAGGATAAAGCTGAGGCATTGAACAGCTTCTTTTCCTCAGTGTTCACAAGAGAGGATGCAACTAACCTTCCTGCGTTTGAGGACAGACGGTTCGACACAGCACTGACCCACATTGTGTTCACAGAAGAGGGTATTAGAAATAAACTGTCCAGGCTAAAGGTCCATAAGAGTCCTGGACCTGACATGGTGCATCCTAGAGTGCTAAGGGAGCTGTGCAACGAGCTTGCAGAGCCCCTGAAGATTCTGTTTTGTAAATGCCTGGATGAACAAATGGTCCCCAGTGAATGGAAAGTGGCTTATGTGAGTCCTATCTTCAAGAAGGGCGATAGGCACTCCACGAACAACTATAGACCGGTGAGCCTGACCAGCATAATATGTAAAGTACTTGAGAGTATTATCAGAGATGCAGCGATGGAACATCTACTACGAAACAACCTTGTAAAAGATTGCCAACACGGTTTTATGCCGGGGCGCTCTTGCTTGACACAATTGCTCAAGGTATTGGATATTTGGACCCATATTCTAGAACGGGGTGGTAATATCGACAATATTTACCTAGATTTTGCCAAGGCTTTCGACAGTGTACCCCACGAAAGGCTGAAAATCAAACTGGAAGGGTACGGAATTCGGGGAAATGTCCTAGCGTGGATAGAAGACTTTCTACATGACCGCAAGCAATGTGTGGTGATTAATGGCACGAAATCGTCATCTGTACCTGTAACAAGTGGGGTACCGCAGGGTAGTGTATTGGGCCCGCTGTTGTTTGTTTGTTTCATAAATGATATGCCTGACGTTGTACACTCCTCCATACAAATGTTTGCCGATGACGCCAAGTTATTTCGGGAAATTAAGAACCAAGCGGACTGTGAAGAGCTGCAGAAGGACCTCTGTGGGCTCCAGGAATGGTCGAAGGAATGGCTGCTGAGATTCAATGTCACGAAGTGTAAGAGGATGCACCTGGGGCGTACCAACGGTAAGGAGGCGTACCATATGTCCCAACGGGATGAAGAAAATGTACTAGTTGAGACTGTGTGTGAGAAGGACCTAGGTGTGTATGTTGACAATGAGCTGAAGTTCTCGGGCCATTGTGAGAAGAAGGTAAATCAGGCAAATAAATTATTGGGTCTTATAAGAAGGTCGTTCAGATATCTAGACGGTCCGTCCCTCGTGACGATCTTCAGGAGTGAAGTGCTTCCCCATCTGGAGTACTGTCACCCCATCTGGTCCCCGAGATATGCTAGGGACTGTCAGTTGGTTGAAAATGTTCAAAGGAGGGCCACCAAGCTGGTGCCTGCACTTCGGCATCTCAGCTACCCTGCGAGATTGGAGCGCCTGAACTTGCCTAGCTTATACTACAGACGGGCAAGGGGGGACCTAGTTGAGGTTTATAAGCATCTCAGGGGGCACTACTCAGTTGAGTGTCCTTACTTGGAGCTGGCGGACGCTCGCCCCACAAGGGGTCACAGCTCAAGATTGAAGAAGCCGCAAGTCCGGAAAACCGTGAGGGCAAACTTTTTCGGAGTGAGGGTTGTAAACTCTTGGAACAATCTACCAGAAAGTGTTGTGACGGCACCGAGTGTGAGCTCTTTCAAGAGAAGACTTGACCAACACTGGAGCGGGTTCAGGTACATTCAGGAGCCGGTGCATGCCCAGTATTTGCCAACAGTGCGTGACAGAGACGTGACCGATCGCCCGGGCGGCTAGCGAGCCGACCTTTTGGTGAAGAATATAAAGGAAAAGAGTCGTGACCGATCGCCCAAGCGGCTAACAAGCCGATCAGTGGCGAAGAGGATAAAAGTAAAAGTAACATGGGACGGAATCCACACAAATTTGATACGAGAATTGTTCTCAATGGCAGTTATCACATTTCTTTTAATATCACATACAACTTTAGACATAGAACCTGACGGGCTCTTCATTGATTTCAAAGCACTTTGAGTGAAGAGCTGGTACTGTGCCATCGGTATTCCTGAAATGCTGTAAATTGTATGCAAATATTAAACAGTGAAAGCAAGGAGATTTTATTACAGTAGTAGGAGCCTCCAGCGACTAGAGAGGTATTAGGTAGTTGCGTTTATTTATTATTTATATTCAAGAACTTAGAATATAAAAAATTATTTTGAAGTAATGTATTCTGTTCTTTTCTATAATTGCAGCTATTTCTTACTGTAAACACTAGTTTATTATGCTACAAATTAGATTGTCATAGATTATGTTTTCGGATTGGCAACTGAGCCGGCCATCAAGGCCATGTGGCCCTGTCCCACTCAACTCACTCCAGGTAAACTAATGTGAAAATACATTATTATTACTATTAGATTTGAGAAAGAATATGTCCATGATTTAGAAAATATATTATCAACTGATTTAAATATGTTGGTTTGTAGATCTATGATTTAAAAAGAAATATTGACAAAGCTTAGTGTACAGATGGCGGTCTGTAGAGATGCTGTGTTGAGTTAGGCAGACAAGACAACGATTATGGTTGTCTCCTGAGAACTAGGCAGGATATGTTTGTTATAGTCTTGCCTGAGAGAAGCATACCTTAACATGTTAGTTCCCCATTTCGTATTAAAAGGTCAAATAAATATGAGTGGACCAATTAACAAGTAACATTGCTCTATACTTGTTCTGTAATGGGGTGACTGTTTTCTATTATTTTACAAATAATTATATAAAGGAATAATTTATATTATTATAGCAACAACTATTTATTTACTATAAATGTTGATGGTTTATATGTAGACTCACTCACTGTAGAGGGAGCTGTAAAACACACAGGATTCATAATACTGTGCCTCATCTCTCCTACATAAACAGCCTTAAGGTATGAAGACACTAGACTCACTCACTGTAGAGGGAGCTGTAAAACACACAGGATTCATAATACTGTGTCTCATCTCTCCTACATAAACAGCCTTAAGGTATGAAGACACTAGACTCACTCACTGTAGAGGGAGCTGTAAAACACACAGATTCATAATACTGTGTCTCATCTCTCCTACATAAACAGCCTTAAGGTATGAAGACACTAGACTCACTCACTGTAGAGGGAGCTGTAAAACACATTGATTCATAATACTGTGTCTCATCTCTCCTACATAAACAGCCTTAAGGTATGAAGACACTAGACTCACTCACTGTAGAGGGAGCTGTAAAACACACAGGATTCATAATACTGTGCTCATCTCTCCTACATAAACAGCCTTAAGGTATGAAGACACTAGACTCACTCACTGTAGAGGGAGCTGTAAAACACACAGGATTCATAATACTGTGTCTCATCTCTCCTACATAAACAGCCTTAAGGTATGAAGACACTAGACTCACTCACTGTAGAGGGAGCTGTAAAACACACAGGATTCATAATACTGTGTCTCATCTCTCCTACATAAACAGCCTTAAGGTATGAAGACACTAGACTCACTCACTGTAGAGGGAGCTGTAAAACACATTGATTCATAATACTGTGCCTCATCTCTCCTACATAAACAGCCTTAAGGTATGAAGACACTAGACTCACTCACTGTAGAGGGAGCTGTAAAACACACAGGATTCATAATACTGTGTCTCATCTCTCCTACATAAACAGCCTTAAGGTATGAAGACACTAGACTCACTCACTGTAGAGGGAGCTGTAAAACACACAGGATTCATAATACTGTGTCTCATCTCTCCTACATAAACAGCCTTAAGGTATGAAGACACCACAGTATTTGACGACGAGGATGGGATAACTTTGTATAGTAACATATAATAGTGACAGGTTGTGTAATTGGCACATTTAAAATGTATTGGCAATAATCTTGGTAAAGTGGAACAGATGGCTTACACCAGAAGGAGAAGTTCATTTCATTAATTTTGGGCAGTGGATAGTTTGGCGTAACGGCTAAGTTCCTACAAACGTTATTTTACTGTGAGTGTGCTCTGATTGGCTAAGTAATTTCTGTGTAATATGACTAGGGGTCCGCTCCCCGGCTAGGCCGGGAATCGAACCTGTGACATCTTGCTTGCCAGGCAAGAGCTACCTAACTTTCTCCTCCCGGCTAGGAAGTTAGGTAGTTCTTGCCTCGCAAGCAGGATGTCACTGGTTCGATTCACTGGCCGGCGGAAGTTGTTTGGACACTCTTCTTAGTCCCCCTGGTCCCTGTTCACCTAGCAGCAAAGTAGGTACTGCTGTAAATCGAAAGTTGCAAATTCGTATTCAGGGACAAGTTGTTGGAGCTTCCAATAACTTGCTTAGACATAAAAACCATTGACTCTTCAGGTTTCTACGCCCTCGACTCTTCAGGCTTCTACGCCCTTAACTCATGAGACGTAAGGCAAGCATGAACTTAGCATGCTTCCCTGTTGGGCGCTGTAATCGCTTCTGCGCTTCATCTTACACAAGAATGTGTGTGTGGGGGTGCCCAATTAAAAACAAAAATTAGGTAAGGTTAGGTAGGTTTCTTTGGTTGGTTAGGTCAGGTTTTATTAGGTTTTAGTAAATGTCGCATTTTTTATAATGCTGTGTGCTCCACCTCGGCTGCTGTGTGCTCCTCCTCGGCTGCTGTGCTCCTCGCTGCTGTGTGCTCCTCCTCGGCTGTGTGCTGCTGCTGTGTGCTCCTCCGGCTGCTGTGTGCTCCTCCTCGGCTGCTGTGTGCTCCTCCTCGGCTGCTGTGTGCTCCTCCTTGGCTGCTGTGTGCTCCTCCTCTGCCGTTGTGAAGATGCTGATGCCGTCCCACTATGAACAAATGAATCCAGTGTTGACTGCTTGGTGCTACTCTTCTTCATCTCCTTATAGATCTCAGTGTAACAACCAAGACTGTCCTCAATGCTGTGTTGAACCTTGATGTTATGTGTATAAGGTCAACATTGTATATACAGTAAGCCTCTCTCAGTTCCTGTAAATTCAGTTGCCTCTGAAGATGTCTTGAATACAGACAAAAGCTAAGGTGCTCCAGTGTTTACTTAGTTGACCGAGAGTTAGCAGTGAAGAACACACGCGGTGGCCGCAGGACACAGACTGCGGATGTAAACAAACCCAGACGCACCAAGCGATGCGTGGTGCGTTTGGCGCTTGATTTAGCAAAAGAGTTCAGTAAATCGAGAGAATGTAACGGAAAGCTCGATTTAGCGGAACTTTTGATTTAACGAACAGGAGTGGCTTGAATTAGTTCATAAATCTAGAAAATACAGTACAGTATAGTATTGTATTTATAATACTTGTACAGGTATAAGTAGAATGGAAAAGTATTTTGATAAAGCTGTAATTAATTTTATTTTGTTTTACCGAGTTAGAAATTTCAAAGATTATCATTATTTCAGTTCCTGTACAGCTGCAGTAACAATGGCCCTGGAGGACATAAAACAGTGTTGCTTGCTGCTGGACTCCAATAGGGTCACAGACCGCAAGGTGAGGAACAGATGGAAGCTACATATAGCAAGCTTTATGTACATGGACTGTTGTCTTTATTGAAGTGTTGATACTGTAATCCTTAAATATATTTCATGCCTCCTATTGAAGTTAGGGAGAAATATAAATTGGTTCACTCTTTAATTTTCCAGGTGTTTGCCTTTCGAAATGTTATGTTTGGAGTATACAATCCCTCAAAAATTCTTTCAAGTAGCTTTATAAAGGTTTGTTTACATTAAAATACCCTGTACAGTCGACCCTCGTTAATTTGGACTAATAGGGGGGAAGGGTGTCCGTTTTAGCCGATTGTCCGAATTAACCGATTTAGGGGTTAATATTCCATTTTATTTCAAAGTCATTGTTTTCGTCACGATTTTATCCCACTTTCCACTGTAATACGTACGTAATTTCAGCAAAAATATTACATTTCCGTGAATGTATTATATCAAGCACAGTATGAATAGAATACCATTGTAATATAACAGTATTTTAACCGAAAACTACTAAAAAATCGAATAACATCTCAAGAACATCGGAAGGTTAGGTAAAGTCTTTTGTTTTCGTCATGTATTTTATCCTATTTTACATTGAAATACATCACGTTTCAGCAAAACTACTATTTATTTCCAAGAATATATTCATTCAGGCGCAGTTTAGGTAAAATATACGTGTGATGTAACAGTTTTTTAACTGAAAACGATTCGAAAAACACGTGCCCTCTAGCCCTGTTCAAGGAGAGGACTGGGAGAAGCTGTTTGGTGCTGCAGACGATGACAAGGAAAATGATTTGGATGAATTTTAATGAAAATATTCAGAAACATGGTATCGTAGTATTTATTCAAGTCAATTAGGATAGAATATTATTGTAATACAACAGTTTTTTAGCTGAAAACCAATCGAAAAGCGATTACGGTAACATCAAACACGGCTTAGGTTCGAGCAATTCAGATTTTCATGGTACGTATACGTATACAGGTGTAATAGATAATTTTCATTTAACAAAATATTAAGCAACGGTGTTTACGATGTATATTAATTTTATATCACTTCTCGACTCATCAGAAAGGGTGCGATCGGCTGCAGCATCTTTTAAATAATTCAAACATTGTTTCACATTTGGATACCAGGCCTAGTGACAGCTTCAACTGGGACCAAGTCTTCTTCAGTGTGAAGAAATACTTCCTCAAGGTTGGTGACGGTCAACACTGTATTAGTTTAGTTCAGCTTTTACACATTTTTAATAATAAATGGAGAGCTAGTTCACTTTTATACTGAAAATAGTTGTACAGTGACTGCACAATACATCTATAACTCTTAAAAGATGTACAACTTTTGATGATTACAGTGCAGTACAGTAAAGTATAGTACAGTGCAGTACAGTACTGTACAGTGTAGTGTAGTACAGTACTGTACAGTACAATGCAGTGTAGTACAGTACAGTACAGTACAGTGCAGTAAAGCACAGTGCAGTACAGTAAAGTACAGTAAAGTACAGTACAGTGCAGTACAGTACTGTACTGTACAGTGCAGTACAGTAAAGTGCAGTGCATTACAGTACAGTGCAATATAGTGCAGTACAGTGCAGTACAATACAGTACAGTGCAATACAGTTCAGTATAGTATAGTACAGTATTATACAGTTTAGTACAGTACAGTATAGCACAATATTATGCAGTATATTACAGTACAGTATAGTAGAGTACAGCATAGTACAATATAGTACAGTACAGTTTACTGGTAATGATTGGGTCCAAGTCAGTGCTAGAAAAACTTAGCACCTTATTTCTAAATCAGTACTATTCTGTACTCTACTGTACTGTACTCTATTGTACTGTACTTGGAACAAAAAGAGGTCTCTTGGAAAACATCTTGTATAACTCTGAAACTTCTCATAATAGCAATATTCTGCATACCTGTTCTGGTACCTAAGAGAACTTTTATTGTACTGTATAGTTTTGGGAAAGTTATGTCCATCTCCACAAGCTTGTTTATGACTTCTACATCAAAATTAATAATATTTTTGTGTGGTTTAGTGTAACAACCCACAAATGAATTGCAGTATAGTACATAAATTTGGCTAACAATCACTTAATTTTGAGAAATAGTAGACCCTTTGATATAGCACCTATAGTTTGACCAAAGCTATGAGAGAAAATTAGAGGTTCCGGTAAAGAGTCGCTGGTTAGGCTATAATTTTTATCACAAGCCAAGAGGCATATACAGTACAGTAATTGAAGCCAAATGCAACAATTCTTAGTTTGCATCGCCGTTTCAACTCCCATAATCCTTTAAGCTATCCGCCATCTTGTAGGTATAGACGCTATCATAAACAAACATGCGTACTCTGTAAACGTAAGTTCTACATAATGGTGAATTCATGTGTTGTCGGATGCCACAATACATCTAAGAAGAAAGACAAACCCTGATCATTCCTCACTTTTCCTGCTGTCAGTTATAATCAAGGAGATAAAACACAGGAATTGTCTACGAAGAGGAGGGATTTGTGGATTTCTTAGGTAAACAGAAAAGGGTGGTTGCCTTCCAAACATTTCAAGGTTTGTTCTGACCATTTCATTGAAGGTAGGCTACAGGCTTCTCCTGGACCGGCCATACAATTACAATGGGCACATTGTACTTCCCCACTTACCTTGACAATTAACCATGACTAATGGTGTGGCATTCACTCAAATGGCGAACTCTGCCGAACACTAGAATATTATCACCGAAGTTGGTACACTTCACTTCTTTAACCCATCCATAGATGAAAAAAATTGTAAGCATCTAATGACTTGTATGCCCTGAGTTCATCAAGTGTATAAACACTTTTTTTTATAAATCGTGTAAGTTATAATGTCCATGTTCGCTATCGGTGGGAAAGTATCTGGGTTTATCGACCATCTTGATTTGGGAATTCTGTACGGGTCTTCATTGTCAACAAGTTTCAGTTTCTCCGAATGCCTTGTCTGTGACGATGTGTCTAAGGACCCGATGTATCCTTGTGTGTTTTCCTTATCACGACTCTCTTACTGGATAACATTGTAATATTGTATGTTGTAAAAGAAGCTCCAACAGTAAATAGTCGCGTCTAGTATGGCGTTGCATTATGGCAGTATGTGACGGCATGACAAAACTAAGAATTGATGGAAAGTATTTTGAAATAACTAGCCACTCTTGGCAACAAATCAAAGAACCAAACTGACATAATCCAAAATAAGGAGAGAGGCCAAGATTATGGAAAAATAAAAGCAGAGCAAAAAATATAAAAATTGAAGGTGGACAATATAGGAATGTACTGTACTGTATATGTGAGGGATGAATAAGTCCATGGGTTGAAATGTTACAGAGTGCTCAAATCTTACCATCACAAACCACCATGTGTAAATATTCTTGAGCCTGACAAAGGAAATCCAAGGGTCTTGAGCCAATAAAGGATTTGGAAGATATTAGAAAATTTATGATAGTACAGTAAACCCTCGATGACTTGGCATTTCATATAACTGCATGGATATGGTCTCGGAATGTATTAGTATAACTCGGGAAATGCCGAGATATATAAAATTATCTGGGAAAATCTCGTCATATTTGGCCACCTGCATCACCTACTATGCCTCTGTGTCACCTACCATGCCTCTGTGTCACCTACTATGCCTCTGTGTCACCTACCATGCCTCTGTGTCACCTACCATGCCTCTGTGTCACCTACCATGCCTCTGTGTCACCTACTATGCCTCTGTGTCACCTACCATGCCTCTGTGTCACCTACCATACTTCTGTGTCACCTACCATGCCTCTGTGTCACCTACCATGCCTCTGTGTCACCTACCATGCCTCTGTGTTACCTACCATGCCTCTGTGTCACCTACCATGCCTCTGTGTCACCTACCATGCCTCTGTGTCACCTACCATGCCTCTGTGTCACCTACCATGCCTCTGTGTCACCTACCATGCCTCTGTGTCACCTACCATGCCTCTGTGTTACCTACTGTACCTCTGTGTCACCCTACCATGCCTTGTGTCACCTACCATGCCTTGTGTCACCTACTATACCTCTGTGTCACCTACTATACCTCTGTGTCACCTACGATACCTCTGTGTCACCTACTATACCTCTGTGTCACCTACTATACCTCTGTATCACCTACCATGCCTCTGTATCACCTACCATGCCTCTGTGTCACCTACTATACCTCTGTATCACCTACTATACCTCTGTGTCACCTACCATGCCTCTGTATCACCTACTATGCCTCTGTATCACCTACCATGCCCCTGTATCACCTACCATGCCTCTGTGTCACCTACCATGCCTCTGTGTCACCTACTATACCTCTGTGTCACCTACTATACCTCTGTGTCACCTACTATACCTCTGTGTCACCTACTATACCTCTGTGTCACCTACGATACCTCTGTGTCACCTACCATGCCTCTGTATCACCTACCATGCCTCTGTGTCACCTACTATACCTCTGTATCACCTACTATACCTGTGTCACCTACTATACCTCTGTGTCACCTACTATACCTCTGTGTCACCTACGATACCTCTGTGTCACCTACCATGCCTCTGTATCACCTACCATGCCTCTGTGTCACCTACTATACCTCTGTGTCACATACTCTACCTCTGTGTCACCTACTATACCTCTGTGTCACCTACGATACCTCTGTGTCACCTACTATACCTCTGTGTCACCTACCATGCCTCTGTATCACCTACCATGCCTCTGTCACCTACTATACCTCTGTGTCACCTACTATACCTCTGTGTCACCTACTATACCTCTGTGTCACCTACGATACCTCTGTGTCACCTACTATACCTCTGTATCACCTACCATGCCTCTATATCACCTACCATGCCTCTGTGTCACCTACTATACCTCTGTATCACCTATACCTCTGTGTCACCTACCACACCTCTGTGTCACCTACCATGCCCCTGTATCACCTACCATGCCTCTGTGTCACCTACTATACCTCTGTGTCACCTACTATACCTCTGTGTCACCTACCATGCCTCTGTATCACCTACTATACCTCTGTATCACCTACTATACCTCTGTGTCACCTACTATACCTCTGTGTCACCTACCATGCCTCTGTATCACCTACCATGCCTCTGTGTCACCTACTATACCTCTGTGTCACCTACTATACCTCTGTGTCACCTACTACACCTCTGTGTTCACCTACGATACCTCTGTGTCACCTACTATACCTCTGTGTCACCTACCATGCCTCTGTATCACCTACCATGCCTCTGTGTCACCTACTATACCTCTGTGTCACCTACTATACCTCTGTGTCACCTACTATACCTCTGTGTCA